ATCTCATATGCAGAGTCTAAGGGATTCAGAAAGACAGTGATATTAACTGACTGTAAAAGTGCTTTGCAGCATCTGGCTCGATGCGCCTCTGACGGCAGAGGTGCCTCGATAGCCTATGCTATTCTTAAAAAGGTTCAAAATTTAACAACTAGAGGTATAACTTTGAGGCTGCAGTGGATTCCAGCTCACATTGGTATAAAAGGCAATGAAAATGTAGATAGGATGGCTAAAGAAGCTATATCAGATGGTATAGATACATTTGTTTTTTCGGAATTTAGTGATATCTTGTTAAAGTACAAACTATTGATATATAATAATTGGGAAAATGAATTCAAAAAAAATTCAATTAACAAAGGGATATGGTATAAAATTGTGCAGGATAAGCCTTTTAAACTGCCATGGTTTGCCCATGACGTATTGTGTAGAAAGTTGATTGTTATAGCTTGTAGATTGAGGTCTGGTCATATACCACTAAATTATTTTAAATTCTTAGTTAAGAAATCAGATTCACCAAATTGTTCATTGTGTAATGTTGTCGAAGATATTCATCACTTTCTAGTGGAATGCGTTCGGACCAACGATCTTAGAGTTTACCTAAGAGCAAAACTTAATATTAAGGTATATGATGTCGGAGTATTTTTGAGTATTTTATCTGCACCTATGTCAAACGCAGCTATTGTATTATATAAATTTATAGATAAGTTAAATAATTCAGATAATTAGTTTCATAAGGCATTTAAGCTTGTTTGTATTATGCATAAGGTGTTTATGGGACTGGCATAGTCAATTATGGCTCAAAGTCCCTCAAGTATAATTAAAGAATTAAAAAAAAAAAAAAAAAAAAAAATGTTTTTTTTTTATGTTAGAGGGGGCAGACGAGCAGACGGGTCACCTTATGGAAAGTGACTATCGCCGCCCATGAACTTTTCTTGTCTTTTCTTGTCTGCAACTCAGGAGTCACAAAAGCGTTGCCGGCCTTTTAGGAGTACGCTCTTTTCTTGAAGGTTTGAAGATCGTATCGGTCCGGAAATACCGCAGACGATAACCCGTTCCATAAATTCGTTGTGCGGGGCAAAAGTTCACTCGAAAAGCGTACAGTAGTGAAGCGCCAACTATCTAGGTAATATGGATGAAAATTTTGAGGTGTGGAACGATGGCGGAAATTTGCGGCTGGTATTAGTCCGAACAATTCCTCAGAGCACTCTCCATGATATATGCGATAGAGAATGCAGAGTGAAGCTACATCTCTACGTAACGCCAACAAATCGAGCCGGTCCCAAATCTTTTGGCTATCGGCGATTCGAGTCGCTCTTCGTATGTATGCACAGTAGTTTTTCAGAAATATATAAAATTGAAAACATTAAAGTTTATTTTAGGTGCAATCGTTTGGTATCTGTAAACAATACTTGCTAGTATTGAACACATGGACGTTATCAAATTTTAATATTTTACGATGATGAGTGGTGCGTCTGAACAACTTGCATACATATTACTCGATTCTTATTTGCATTCGGGTTTTTCATTTTTTCTCCCCATGTGGACTTGTATATAGGTATAACAGTAATACTTTTTTTTTAATTCACGTAAATAAAGAGAGTCAAACGTCGCCGTATTTAGAGCACTGGCCACAAGTTTAAGTTACGGGTACACTAGTGTACGTAGTGGTGTTTACTTCGCTAAATTCTAATATAGTTATGGAAAAGTGCAGGTAGTGAACCTACAACTCTAACATTATTTAATTTAGTCTCATCCTTACCTGTCCCAAATATACACATGCCACACACAGCTGTACAACACCCAAAGGTTTGACTTTAAGAAAATGCCTGTGGCATTAAGTCCGCCTTATGCTGGAAGTCTCTATAAATAAGTAAATAAATAACAGTTTACATAGGATTACAATCCAATAAAAATATAAGGTGTTATTTTTAATAAAAAAAAATGTTCTTTTGCAAACACAGATATGAGTATCTTACTGACCTTGCCTATTAGTCTAGTGACTAGTGGTTAGTAATCCTATTTGCTAAACCGTGGAATCAAAACCCACTCAATTATTGTCCTATGAGCTAGATCATGTTTTCTGTCTAGTGTAGTTTACTAATGATATGTTTGTGACTAAAAATATAAAATTCAATCAACAGTCTGCTTATTAGTAAAGGTTTTGTTATGTTTGGGATCAGTCGGGATTCGATTTGTGAGATATACCTATGTCATATTCTTTTTATCATACATTGTATTAAAATTATTATCGTTACATTTTTTAAATGACATCGATTTGAAGTGCCACACTTTTAGCAATGTTAGTGGCAAATCGAAATAATGATGAATACGCAATAGAAAGAAAGTCTTTTGTCTTTATAATTACGAAAGAACAAAGCAAGCTTAATCTTTTGTAGCAGGACTGAGGGTAGCATGAATAATACGTTAATAAAATGTCAAGTGCGGTGGCCACCCTTGCGGGGTGCGCCGACCATTGCCCTCCGTCCTCCAGGTAAATAAAACAGTGATACAAAAGCTAATGGAAAGGCTAGCCATTAAAATGCTATGACAGTTCACTACAAGTAATCGCTGTGCTCCGAAATTAAAAAAATGCAGTATAGTTGCAATGCAGTTCGTTATGTACGGTGTCTCTGAGAGGTCAATGTATGTATGTAACTTAAATGAAGTTATTGCGCGTTATGCTAAGGCTAGAATTTTAAAACCTAGGTACTTATTTAAAATTGCTCGAGGTATAAAATTAGTACCTAAGTAATTAGTAAGTATAATATACTTATCATATACCGTAAATACTGCATATTAAAATAATATTTTACTTACCTACTAAAACCTGTCTATCTAATAATTTATGGGTGTTACCTATCTTTTATAATGTATCTTATTATCTAACAACACACCATCAGTACCTAAACCCTCTCATAGTATGTATTTGTTATTGAATTCGGCTTAGTAGGTATGGAACCGGTAATATTATTTTATTTTTTATTTTATTCAATACGTACAGATACAGACAACAGGTTAAGACATACAAAGAGTGGCCTTAGTAATATACAGTGAGCGAACCTGAAGTCCAATTACAACTTGTACACAACTTTCAAAACAAGCAATGTTTCGTTTTCAATATGGACTAAGGTTGGATTTAAATGTACATTTGTAAAGAAACAGATTTTAATAAAATATAGAGAAAAAACAAAACAAGGTTTTTTTAGATATAACCTTAAATTAACTACAAAGGTCTTATAGGGTTGTAATGTAATGTAGCAAAAAAGATTTGAAAGATCTAAATTTGTCGTGAAAAATGTCTACCTGTGAGCAAAAAGGCATTATAATTTTTACACATTCTGTGCAAAGGATTATTCTGAGACACATTGATATTGCTTGTGGGAACACTAAACAGTTGTGGGATACGCACGAAAGCACTTATCAAGCAGTACCTATTTGCACAGAGTAGCTGTTTTATATGAGTAGTAGCACTTAAAAACGACGTTAAAACTTTAGACGTTTAAAAGAGCAAGAGAGTAATTGAAAATACCCTTTAAAAATCCTTTGGATGAGTAAAAGTCAGTGTTAATAATTAAATAGAGTTTCTTGAACCACAATGATGTAGTGTCATCTTATTAGAAAATATTTTATAGTTTTTTTTTCACGTGTGTCTTGGGTTCTTTAACACAAGTTTTTTGGTAGTACGCATTTTATTACTTGTGCTTCAGTACATATTATGTGTTTTAATGTAAGGGTACGGACGGATGCGATGCATTAAATAATTGCACGTTTGTACAATTCGTTTAGTTATTGTTGAAACTTGCGGAAAATCTAAACCAGAATCAGAATAACCAAAAAAGTTAAAAGCGACCGTTAATGACGTCCTATAGTCAGTGTTGCCACCTTGGCGATTTTATCATTATTTAGATCTGGTGATTTTTCAGAGCTCTGAGCGACATTATTTCGTAGGTAGGTAAATGTGCTTTCGCTGATTCCCAAGCCGCAGATGGCTTAAAAATGCATCGTGTCAAGTGTATAGACGTTTTTAAAAATGTAATAGCTCCACATTTTATCGAAGGACTAGTAAAGGACAAGGGGCAGCAGAGATACAGTCTTATCATTGGCGAATCATCTGACATCAGTACAAGCAAGCAACTGGGTATTGCAATTAGATATTTAAGTCACACGCTTAAAAAAATTGTTTCATGTTTTCTAGCTTTAGAACCACTCACATGCCGTGGGAATTCTCGAAGCCCTACTTTGTTGCTCACAAAAGTATGGCCTTGATAAAAACAAAATGGTTGAGGTAAATGAGCGTAGCAACGCTGCAGAGACTTTCCAGAAAAATCTCATCTTGCTATATCCACGTTGTCATTACCTGATTTATTTGATAAAATTTAAAGAATTTTCAGTGTTATGACGAAACAAAATAGCCAGTCCACTACTAAACGCTATAATTTTTATTACAAATAAATTGAAAGTTCTAAAAATTAAATGCTTCAATTACGATTAATTAGCGAGGCTATTGGTAAAAACGTAAAGTACTCATTTAAAGATAATCCAAAACCAACAACATCTTCAGCGCAAACGTCGGTGTCTATAAATGATGAAGATATGATGGAAGAAAAATTTTTATTTCGAAATCTTGAATTTAAATTAAGTCTGTTGTTTTAACTATTGACTGTCGCTAAATAACCTTTTTTAAGATTCGTGTGGCATTTTACATTGCATCTAGTGACAAGATAAATTTTGAGGTGGCAACGCTGCCTGCAGTCCGCTCGACTCGGCTCGACTCCGCTGTCAGTTTATGACAGTAACATGTCGCGGCGGATTTGAAATAAATATAAGTGAAAATTTTAATGTAACACGATTGAATACAACACGCAAACTGTATAAATGATTACTTCACTAACGACATTATTATTTGTCATAATTCTATAATAATAAGTATTTAAACTCAGCTGTCGAGCAACGTTCAGTTATTAAAGAAGTATCTCTAATGTAAAATTAACACATTCAAAATTATGAGTGTAATAGAATCAAAAGCCAGAAATGTGGGCTTTGGTTGGGAAGCAATTGATATCTTTCTATTTTCCAACGGCCAAAATAGTTCACCACCAAGAAAGTACCACTTGCGTACAGATGAGTTAGATTGGTGGGAAGCTACGTTGAACCATTTGGCAAAATCACATTACGGATCGTCGTAAATATTTATTCGTTATTACTTTTTAACACAAAATAAGGAAGACATAATAGCATCATCAGACATCTACTTATTTCTAAGTAATTCAGGTTCAAATTGACTAAAGCCTGTTTCAAACCATAGAAAAGTTTGTCATTCCATGTAGATTTACATGTAGATGGTGTTATTAATATACAAACTTGATTTACTGTTTAATAGAATATTAAGGTTTTATATTTCATATATATTTACAAATGTAAATATGTCTAGATTATTTGACTTTGTATAGTTACATTTAAAAAGATGTGGCAAGTATGAATAAATAGAATATGTTACTTTTTACCATTTTAATTTTATCATATTTCACCCTTTTTACTAACTTTCAAGAAAAGGATGTTTATGACTACCTAATTCTAACTTTATTACTGTAAAGTTTTGATTAAATCATGTCATGATGTAGCTCATGTAGGGGTATAATATATTGCTGCCATGGACATATAAAAAATCTTTTATACATCTCTGATTGCAGCAAAATAATTTAATATTAATATTTCATCTATGAGAAAAACTTTGTTACTTGCAGACATACAGCGATAGAGCTTTATACATTGAGTGGAAGCAGGATAGAGGGGCCTCAGGAATTATGTGACGGCATGCCTTGTGTTGCTGTTGTGCCCCCAGACACATTTACTGATGCGGGTTATGAGAACTACCTCATGAAGGCTTCCAGGTATATTTTCATATAATGGTTAAACAAATCTGGGTATTAATATTTATGTTTTTTATAGATAAGTCCTTAATCATATGTTTTGTAAAAATAAACAAATAAACACAGAAAATATTTATTTAGATTAAAAATTTGTTTCTAACTGTTATGCATAATGTTTGCACTTCTTCCTTCTAAAGTTCCTTTTGACCTAATCAGATTTCTAATACCTAGTTACCATTTAATAAAATCAATCTTCAATATTTAGATTGGCTATTAATTTGTTGAGTTTAAAAATGCTCAGTAAATCTACAAATAAGTGTTGAGCATGAAAAAATATTTCTTAACTCTATGCCCTATTCTAAAAGTTCCAGCTCAACTAGAGTTTTTCTTTTATGGAAGAGGGGGCAAACCAGCAGACAGGTCACCTGATGGAAAGCGACTACCGCCTTCCACTCAGAAGTCACAAAGTGCATTGCCGGCCTTTGAGGAAGGAGTACGCTCTTACCAAGGCCAAGGCCATAATGTAGCTAGGGTCCTAGGGCAGAACTGGTCACATACCATCACATGATACGACAACGAGTTTGCCACACTATATCGAAAGAAAAATCAAGCTATAATTTAAATGTTTCATAAATTAACATATTGTAAGTACCTTGTGTGACGTCAATTATTTTATTGCATATATATCTTTAACATTCTTCAATTAAAGATAATGATTTCTATGCCATCTATTTGAATTTGATTAAACAATCGCATTCAGTAGTTCACATTTGCAATAACAGATGGCAGTGTAGTACAGATTGTGTCGTGATAGTATAAAATTGAATATTTAATAATTATTTGCATTACTCCATTTTGGTTGTTCAAATATTATGACTGGAGAGGTGTAATTCCCGCAGAGGTGAGGGAATTTAAAAAATGTTAAACGCATTAATGTAGGCTTATGGACGCAACAGAAGATTTTTTCATGGCATAGGGGCCAACGAGCGGACTGGTCACCCTGTGGTGACTACTGGCGCCCATGGACATATGCATCTCAAGAGATACAAGTGCGTTACAGCCCTTTTTGTGCCTTCTCCCACTGGACCTCTATCTATACAAATAAATAAAATTAAGTGTCTGTTTGTAATGTCAAAATAATAAGTTTTTTTCATGCTCATACGGTTATTTGCCTAAAAACCAGTTTATTTTTTTTTACCTATGCCTAAAATCCAGTTTAATTTTTTTTTGTCTGTCTGTCTGTTTGTTCCGGGTAATCTTCAAAATGACCGGACCGATTTTGAGAATATTTTACTACTAGGAAGCTGTAACTTAGGCCTAAAAACCCTATAAAATTTTGCCCGATCCGGGAATCAAACCCACTAAGGTAGCGCTTTTCAACTCCACGCAAACGAAGTCGAGGGTACCAGCTAGTATTATAATAAACATAGTAAGTTATATCGAAATTATAGTTATACTTATTAATCATTTACCTTAAGGTCGTTTGAAAAACGAAAAATAAAGAACGCCAACATGACGGACCAGGCAGAAGTTAGAATTTCAGGTAAAAATCATTTAATAGTTATTTTTACGTGTAACTTCTTTTCTCTTGCCTTCCTGCAAACTGAGGGAGTGATTACGTGAAAAGGGACGGACTTGTGTAACAGAAAGCCAGGGAAACGATTGATATGAGCAATGAGCGCGTGGTGCTAGAGTTTGCCGTCAGAGGGTCTAGTGTGGGTTTATTTCACAGCAACTCGATCGTCACTCGATTGGCCCGTACTGCAATCTTCACCAATCGCAACGCTAAACGCGCTCGCCATCGAAAGCGATTCGATGTGAAATAACCTTGCACAGTCCTCAGATGGTAAGTAAGATTAGTGAAATGTCAGATGTAGCATTTTGTATGCCACAATTGAGTAAGGATCGTTTGTTTTTAAAGTTACCAGGAGTTTAATCGTGTCTTTTCATCTACTTATTTGACCTATAACTAGTAATGTATGTATAGATCAGTATCAGAAAAGTGTAGTCACATTTTAGTGTCATAATCATTGTTAGGAAAATTGTGATATTTGATATGGCAACCATAGTTAGAAACTGATATTATTATTTTTAAATATAAAGCCGATAAAGCAAACATTCATGAAACATATACTTATATCAATGTTCGTAGGAAAAATAATTAAACCATGCTTTTGAAATATGACTCAAAGAGTGGTTTAGAAATGTATCTACAGGGTATTAATTTCAAAGAAAATATTTTATTTTACGATTTTTTAAGAAAGAACGTAAAACAGAAATCACATTTATCAAACAATTAGGTATCTCACCTATTGATCAGCTGTATATAAAAACCCTAAGATATGACTAGACTGTGTAAAACGTTGTATATTATATTTATACATTTCGAAATAAAATAATTTAATAAAAAGAGTATAACTATAGTATTCAAATTCTCCAACTTTTCAATCGTAAGTAATTTTTTTTTTTTTTTTTTTTAAAAGACAACTCCCGCATTAGGAATGTATCCTGTGTCGCGGGGGACTTTACAAACATACATGAAACGGACACAAAGATCAATCAGTAAAATTTTACGTAAATCGTTGTTTATCACTATCCGCTACCGTCATATGGGCGTAAAGTAATTTTTTACTGTTCATTACTTTTCTATAATACAATAGTTCTTGTAGTAGCGAAACGGTCTCACATTTTTACTAAGGTGTAGAGTTTGTTCAGTTAGGGCGTGTAGAGTTAGAAGCTCGGCTCTACATTAGATCTGATAGCTTTTTGACAGTGCGAGCCATATGGTCTCGTCTTGGCAACATTTCACATGAAAATGTTTTTCTTGGGTTAATCTATTCCGTGTATAATTTTTGTTTAAGTGTTGAAATACATAGTATCATGCATAAACGGTGTTTTTATATGTATTTTAAATAATTAGATGAATTACAGATTCACCGCAGATAGACAATGAAAAGCAACAACCGGTGTATGCTACCGATCATACAACGCTCAATGCACCTGAGAAGAGTATCACAGAGCCGACTGTACGTGAGAATTACATTTCTTAGTAAAAATAAATAACATACTCACATATTTTCTTTAAATCAAGTATATTTTTTTTACAGGCTACACTAAAGTCACTAAAGAGTACCGTCCAAAAATCTGTTTTACCAAACATGCGAAATGAAAAAAGGCGTTCAATCTTAGCACGTACATCTTTCATGAAAACGCAAATAAAGTCGACAAAGAACTTCAATCAAGACTCTCAAAGAAAAAGGTCTCTTAAAACGAATGAACCTATATCAGAAACAACTGATAAATCAAATGAAAATAAATCCCTATCAGCATCACCACCAATAGGGGTACCAACATCAACACCCAAATCATCAATGACTAATACACCATTAAGGTGTCATACAATGGTAACTGTAAATAGTAAAGATTTATTCACAGATTATTTGCCACTTGAGAATCTAATCAGTGAAAAGCAGATATTACTTTTAGAGGAAGCCTCAAATCTGTACCAAAATCCCGTGCATGAAGTCAAATCAGTCAAGCTAGATGCGTACGTCGTTCCAACCAATATGGAAGAGGTTAACAATTGTGTTGATTCTATTGCCAAGACTCGCGTTGACGAGGAAATACAAACGAAGATAGAAACATCTTCATGCGAGGTCAACACTGCACTTTATTCTCCACCTTCTAATAGCAAAATAAAAGTGATCGCTGCCACTGTTGCCTCGCAATCAAATATTATGAAATGTGATACTCCTCTTGGAGATAATTACATAGCTGTCATAAACAAAGGGGATGCTGTCAACTTGAAATTGCAGATAGAAGTACAGAATGGTTCAAGTCACACGAATAAACAATCAAGTTCAAACTGGAAGAATGTTAGAGAAACAAATTCGTTATCGGACATCTTTAAAAAAAGGAAGTCTAGTAATACTGGAGACGACGTGGTTACCGCAACCAAGTCATTGGAGTCTGTTGTATGCGGAATCAACGAATGCTACACTAAAGTGGTAGTAGTTCAATGCTCTTGTTGTGGCAACAAAACTACTATGGCTCGTGCCGATAAGGTGCCTGTTTATAAGGACCCTAATGGGTTTTTCATATTGATCCCAACTACCCCACAGCAAGAGAATCATAGGTAAGCAAATAATTTAGTCAAACAGTTCATAGTTGACATTATTTTAAACGTAATTAATCTTTTGTTTTGCAGCTGTTTGTGTTTTAGAGATGAAAACCCTTGTCCTGATAAAAACGCGATGTCAGCGTTATGTGTAGAAGAGTTCTGTAAACCCGAGTCTAGCGCTATTTATCCGTGTGTTCAAGAAGTTGGAATGGTAATGACGTTGACGGGTTCATTTGGCTCCCAAACAGAGGAACAGCAAAGGAATGGAGCTGATAAGTGTATAGTGGCTAAAACAGTATTGGGTAATATGATGTCTAGAAACAAAGAGCGGTACACCGTAGATGAATGTATGACATCGCCCTCTCGGATCAAACAAAAACTTGAATATATGGTTGCTACAGCCAACATTGACAGATCATTGTCGAGGGGTATCATTGGGCGTGTGGACTCTTATACACAGACTGAATGGTGCAGCATTTTGGTGAGATAATCAATATATTTTTTGTTGAATAAAACGATCTAGATTTTGCTTATTATTAGGAGACAGCTATTAGGTAGGTATTCTTTACGAAGATCACTTTTAGATGAACGTAGACCATAGGACGTTGATGGTAGTCTATAATTAATAGAAAGAAGTCATTAAGAAGAAGTAATTAATAGATATAGTAGAAACATCAACTTTCATTAAAATGTCAAAATAGCAACACAATACTTAGGCATAATGTTCAATACTACAAAAATATATTTATTTACCTTTATTTCTGTTACACGATGTATTTTCACTTTGGCTAGTGTTCCGTGTTTGGCGCCTGTTAAAAATTTCATTGCAATCAGGCAATCCAAACAAACAGACTCTTTTGTTTACTAAACGTAGTTCCGTTACAGCAATGGTATTACTTTTATTCTGTTTGCATCTTAAAATAATTTTACCATGACATTTTTTTCGTTCTCTTTTAGCTGGAGGCGCATCTTCATGAAGACGGTCGATACTCTTTCCATTTTCCATCGCTCCAGGCGCTCAAACATTACTCTTTGATATAATAAAGTATAAAAGGAAACTTATACACCTTTTAAATTCTTACATTCGCTTGCCCCTTACCAAGTTAGTAGTTGCCAATACTTATTTTCTAAAATTGTTATTGTGACGTGTTAAGATCGCATAAATATGCGAGCTAGATATTGTTTTAAAATAATTTCAAGCGGATTAAGCCGTAAGTACCCACTTAAAAAAAGTTAAAACAATATAATTTTTTAACAAAAATCCATCGTAGTTAATCTTGGACTCGTAGTTGTAGTCCCTGATTTTTACCCTCGAAAACTGCGCTTTCGATAACTATGTCAGTAAGTTTTAGTAGGTTACTGGAGGATGTTTTCATTAGACCACCTGAAATTTTTTGACTACATGGATGGCGTAGTGGTTTAAGCCGTCACCTCGCCACTTCCTACAACACTGAGTGTTTTGGGTTCGATTCCTACATGGGACAACACTGTATGATCCACAAATTGTGGTTCTGACTCTGGTTGTTTTTTGTGTCCGTTTCATAAATCTGTTTAGTCTCTCGCAGATTATTTTCTTAGTGCAGGAGTTGCTTTTATTAAAAAAAACAATTAATATTTTTTAAAATTAATTTTGTTTTTTATTACATGGTTTAAAATATGTAGTAGAACAAGTTTCTTTCCTAGTATTTTTTAAATATTTGAATGACGCAGTTTTTCAAATTTTTATCAGTTTACCATCTTCTCTTCTCGTATTTATAGCCTTTAACATTTAGAATTGATTCTTTATCAGTTGTGTTGCCATATAATTATTAAATTTTTGAAAGAAAACAAAGTCTAAATTACAAATTCTATAATAATCTTCCTTAATAAAATAAGTATTAATGTAATATTAGATGAATAAATAGACACAATATTACTCGAGTTCTCCTCACCTCGTTGGATGCGATAGGCGTTTATCTTTTTTGCAAGGATGTTCAGAGATTTTGGTTCCATGAAACGCATTTGCATTTCGGTCACAGAGAGCAAGACTTCCGTCGGGATTTGTGACACCACCTGGACAAGTTTTTAAGTTGTTAATATTTCAACCACAGTTCAAAAGATCGCATTGTCTATAGCCCGTTCTACCTACTAGACTCGTTTCTATGGTAGAGAAACAAGCAGACAGGTCACCCCATGTAAAGCACTCGCCGCCTTCCACCTCCCATGGACACCACCCCGCCTTTGTAGTGCCTGCCCCCTGAATTGGTTTATGTTAGGCTAGTTGGGCCTCTGGGAACGTAAATGACTCGGTGAAAGCGAGGAATGAATTGCTTAACGGTTTTCTATGAGGCCGTGGTGGTGTCACTCCGGTCGACTCTCTAATATTATTATTGTACCCTATGCGTTCGACCCGGTCGTGGTCGGCTTGCACTTTCACATTTACGTTCTGTACACTCCCTTACAGTATTTTATAATATCTTAACTCTATTTTGATGGGATAAAGAAACATTTTATTCATATTCTAAAAGTTATCCAGCATATTAACAAGACTTAACAGTAACGGGAGGGATAGGGCTAAGGGGCTACTTACCTGGACCTGTACTTAGATAGTTCTTACTTGTGACGTTATGCCGGCCATGGCTTCAGGATTGATTGCGCTGAAACTCTGTGCATCCACTTCAGCGAGCAGTAGGCCTAGTCGTGATACATCGCGAGCGCTCCAGCTGTAAGACTTGCCTAACGCCTGATAAATTAATTATAGCAATGTGTTAGTGTGCTACGGCACGATATTTTACCTACTAATAAACACTACCGTACTACGAGTACAGTAATACAGTACTTTAGTATCCAGATAAGTATGAAACGATTTATCTAACGGAGAAGACAAACTCGTGTTATTCGACTATACAAAATATATATTATCATGTAGGCTTTTTGGATAATCATAATAGCTTTCAGAAGTAGAAGGTAAATATGTAAAAATGTTGACAGCCTTAACTTTTTTCTTCGTCTGACAGCTCTTGAGTTTAGTAGTTTAGGTTTACAGCGCATTCGCAGATACCTGTTTTAATGATATTTAAATGAGCCACGTGTTACTAACCAAAAAAAACAGTGGCTACCTCACTTATGCCATGGCGTTGAACGTTGGGATTTCATATTTCACGTATGATAAATTTATTATTATAGTGTTTACAAGTATAAATAAGTTAGTAAGCTTGTTGGTATTATGTCTTCAACGGCAAAGAAAAACTAAGATGCGAACACGATTATAAGATTTTGATAACTTAACATTTCTTAGCTTTTTGCACTATTTGGACATATTATTATATACATATTAGTGGTCTACTCATTGCTACAAGAATTTTCTTTGGTGAGTTCATGTACCTATAAAAAAAGTCGGACGGAACTCCCGCTAGGACAAAACTGTGGCACCGTAATGGCGACATCTCTTTATATGTGAGTGAATTTGGGGCTGCCCTACAAACACAGTCAATAAATAAAAATATTTTATTTATTAGAAATTTTACTGTTTAATATCCCAAATTCAGATTATTTTTTTATAATAATGTGTTTTACTTTGAGAGGTTCTTGAAATATCCTCTAATTTCGATATGTGGTGAAACCGAATCGTTAAATATTTTTCCGCTATATATATTTAACAAGACTTATTTTGTGTTCTATTCCGGCGACAGTATGTTCGGATTCTAAGCTTAAAAAAACGCTTTCATTGCCAACAAACTGTCCTAGAATTTTTGTGAGAATAGATTTGTGTTGTCTTTTATTTTCATCATTGCTATTTTTAATTATTTGAATCCAATAATTTCTCCATACTCTATTTTTTTTAGAAAATCTAGTAAAAATAAAATGAAATAAAACACCTAGTAGTAACTACTCATTAAATAAATAACCTTGATAAATTTATTTCAATAATAAACTTGAAATTTCCTATATATCGGGCAATTGAAATGACTGCACGGATGGCGTAGTGGTTCAAGCGGTCGCCACGCCGCTTCCTACTACGACGAGTGTTGTGGGTTCAAACCCCACATGGGACGACACTTTGTGTGATCCACAAATTGTTGTTCTGAGCCTAGGTGTTCTTTGTGTCTGTTTCATGTATGTTTGTAAAGTCCCCCGCGACACAGGATATATTCCTAATGCGGGAGTTGTCTTTAAAAAAAAAAATTGCGCAACCTAAAATTGGCGACACTGGGCTTATAATGGATTCTTTTTTTTTTTAGTAAATGCAGATTGATTTTAATGTATAAAATTCTGGCAATAAATGATTAAAATACTCATTTACCTATGAAACGTAATTCCTGGATTATTTTTCTTTCGATCGTAGTGATCGTTTTTACAGCATTTCACTACGCAGAACATGTTGTTTATTTATATTTTTTCGCCGCGTAACGCGTTTCGCTATCTTGATGTTTACGCGCGCTGGCTGACTAATGTGTGTAAGTGTGCATGCTGGCCTGTACGTACGTACAGCGGACTGCCCGACTATGATTGACACAGTTGTTTGTTAGCGAGAATATGTCCCACGTTTTTATACGTCCATGGGTGAGGTTCGAATATTTCAATTGCCTATCTACTGAAAAAATGTAGGTATTCTAATAATAATTGGCACCTGTGTCCTTGTCATCATTTGAAAATAAAACCTGCGCTGCAATGGATCACATGCTCGTATGTGGTAAAATAACTGGAAAAAATATATTATTTTTCTGAAATTTTTGTGAGTGTGAATTTCTTATAACCAACGTGTCTATAGATAAAGCCATTTCAGAAGAACTTGACCGTGTCTGGCAGATGGTACACACGTAACGCGATCAGTTTGGATATGAAATTAGTAGAGAGCCTGTGGGGGCCGTCAGGGTGGTTTTAGTCGAAACACCACTACTTCTGGCTTCCAAGGAGCCGCAGATCCGAAGGGATTTTCCACCCCACCAAAAAAAGTAGGTATACATCGTAGATACTCGTTTGTGCTATCTACGTACGCAGAATTGATAAATTTTTTCATCCTATTTTGTCATATAAGGCCCTTTATCTATGAAATTAAAATGGCGCGTAAAGCAGTATGCCTTACGCGCTAATTCGGGAATAGATAATCTGTAATCAAGTTCTTTTGCATTTATTGGGTACCTTGGTTAGTTTAAGCGTCTTACTTTTTTAAATTGATGATCACACACCACAAAATCAGTGTGTCACGCTTTATCAGTTTGCTCATTGTCTTGTAAGGTCATGATAGAGCAGACAGAATAGACAGCGAAGTAAACAATGATAATTATTCGAAACTATTCTATTCGGTTAAGAGCTGGAACTATCGACCTCGTAGGCTCGTAATAAGAAATGTGGGCCTCCCCTGCTTTGGGGATACGTACATTGTGACAGAACAGATAGATTGCCTTTAAAAATAGTTTTATCAAGGAGTATCGCAAGTCTATAAAATTTTTGGGCCGTTTTGCTCCTGAGTGCAAAACTAAAAAGGATGAGTATTCACATTCAAGGAATGAATGTAATGTGATGTACCTTCAAGTGTGTAATAAATTTTACAATTTTAGTTTTTGGGGTGAAATAATAAAAACTATTATAATTATACCTGATGTGTTAGTTGCAGGTATGTATGCTTAGGTATTCCTCTCATGAAGAGCATTGGTACGCCACAGAGTAAATTGTTCATAACGTTCAGGTATCGAGCTTCCGTCCAATTCGGGTTGAGTTGTGTGTACTGGCTTGCTATAACGCCCACCTGTTTTTCATAGAAAGTAGTTACGTTGAGCAATATTTACAATTCGTCTAGTTATAGGATTTAACGACTATGGGAAAGATAAATAACCAATGGTATTTTAATGTTTGTATTTTTCCATTATCACTTTGTTAAAGATATTTTATTATTTATGATATATAAATAATTGAAGAGATAGCGGTATTCCCGTAGGGCAGAATATATACATGAAATGAGAGTTCACTACCCGTCTTTCCGGATTTTTTTGAGCAAAGAAAGTCTGATCAAAAGCCAAGATTAAACCTAGAGTCGTTTTTATCTTAATTAGATATTATCTAGGCGTATGAGATTTTAAAACTTCGATATACTAACGCTTGCATAAAAAAGTGAGTATGAGCAGCATTACACACCTGATGCCTACTCAAATCGGGATGAGTTCCAATAAATGAAAGTATCCTTTTGTCTAACAAGTTAAGCCTGGCCATCTCTTTACCGTTGATGTACTTGAATAGTGGCCGAAATTTCTCAAGGGTCTCATAGGTCACTTCGTGTGTGGGTGTAGAACCCTTTACCACGAGCCACGTGCTTGCCAATTTTTCTCTTGCGATTCTCATCATTGCTATTGTTCGAGCCTGTTAAAGAACTTACGCCTAGTTATGAATCATGCAATTAGTTAGATTCAAGTTGTATTATTATTTAAAAAAAATCATTTCTTTTGGTACAAAACAGTCATTAAAATAAAGCAATATAAAAATCTACTTAACAAAATACAAGAATATTATTTTCATGGTACGGGTGAAGATGCTCATCATTAAAATGCTCATAACTATATAATTAGAGTTTCATTTATGCGATCGTTGCTATATTTCAAGAAAATCTTTTGAGTCTATTGAAGATCATCATTTCTTTGCCAAGCATTGAACTGATTTCGAAATGGTTCATTATGAATATAATGCGTCTAAACCCTTTTTACATTTAACCTCTATATCTATATTATATCAAACTAATGCAACGTACTGATTGCAACACATATTCTGGAGGCAAGCGCATTACATCTTCTAAGCTACCCGCAAGAAAAATAGCGAAGGCGTCAACAGCAGTCTGCATATGGTCCCGAGATATCGTCAGGTACGCGTGGCCGCGGTGCAAGTATTCAGAGAAGGGCAGGTGCACGCTGCTCTTGTTGTGGAAAATCTCCGCCCTAAACACAGAATGATTTTGTTGATGATGATGATGATGATGATATGTAGACAGGCATCATTTAGTAACTAAGTGGAGTGATTACCAATTTTGGAACGAAAACACATCAAAGCGATACGAAATTGTAGCGTGCAACTTTAAACTCAGGTCGTGAGAAAAACACATTTAATACTTAGTTGTAACTGACTAGACCAGACTAGACTAACTCGACATAATGTGTCGTTTTGTGATGCAAGATGGAACGATTCGAGCGCCATGACGAACATTGTACGAGTATTACATTAAATACAAACGATGTGTTTTCTCGGGATGCAAATAGGACCTATAATCTCTATCTGTAGTTTTACTTACCGCATTTTTGACCCCGAAGGTAAATGAGCTAACGGATCCATAGATAAGTGTAAACTTTGATGTTTATTCCATTTTGACTGTAATTTAGCACCACCTGTAAGTTATGGCATGTTGTAAAAATTTCGTTCATTAATTTCTGAGTAAAGATTACTTCTGGCGGGACATATGTACATACTAAATGTATTTTACTAGTTTTTAAGTAGTATCGTAGCACCTAAGACGGATCCAGAGATTGTGGGTTCCACCCCTATTCAGTAAAAAACAATTTCACGTATGAAACCACACTGGAATCACCATAGAGCATCATTTTATGCAGAAATCAAGCAGCATTTCATACAGAAATTGTGAAAGCATCTGACAACTATACGGCGGACTGCTTTGGTGGTGCAGTGGTAGCGTATCCAACTGCTGTGCTGAGATCTTGATCTTTCCATTCCCGATTATTTGTATGATCTGCAAATTTTTTTTTCGCAGTTTGGGTGTTTTCTATGTATAATTATGTATGTATTTATAAAACACAAGTATATAAGTATTCTATCAGTCAATCTAGTTTTCATAGTACAAGCTGTGCTTAGTTTGGAACTAGATGGCGTGGTGTGTCAGAGTGGAACAAAAAAACTATTGTTTATACGATAAAGGTCATATAAGACATCCTCTTATAATTAAAGTATGTTTTATAAATGATCAACCTGCTTTAAAACAGTTTTTTTACATAAAATTGAGACCATAGTTTCATTTTACCGATTTTGTTTTACATAGTAAAGGAACATCAGTTAGTTACTGCTAACAGAATTTCGTTTAACTTTAGTAAATATTTCTTAATTAAAACCTACCTTTATTAAGGCCGTACACAACTTGGTGTATAACTCCTTCAAATGTGTGAAGCGGATCTAGAACAGAGTGTACCTAGTTAAAAGTTATTATTAATAATTTTAGAACATCTACATATATATATGTTTCTTATGATAGTAATTTTGAACAAAGATTAAACGTAAATCTTCGCCAATATCTACGAGTAGCTATCCATACTTATATTATAAGTGTAAAAGTCAGTTTGTTTGTTTGTTACGCTTTCATGCCTTTTTTTTGTTGACGGGTTGGAAAATGCCTTCGGATCTCCAGCTCCTCGGGGACGCAGGAGTATCTGGTGTCTTCACTGAAAACCACCCCGACAGCCGGTCTCAGGCACCCTACTCCGAGGAGGACCCGGACCATATTATTTCAGGTCCCCCCTGGATCGATGTCACGCCTAGAAAGGCCCTATCCCGGGGGAGCCTCGGGCTTCTCCCCGCCTATTGGCCCAATTTCGTGACCAGGCCGCCATCCTATCGGTAAGCGCAGCACTTAATCTGCTACCAGAGGGCACCACTCTCTGGCAGCCTACGGTCCCGTCGATGGCTGGTGTCACCGCCGACGTCCTCAACGCTCGGGATCGGCCCTCTCCCGATCCCGTTCAGCGGTCTCTTTCTGGAGCATTACAGCTTCACAGAAAGAGACCACTGACGCTTTAATGCCTAAACCACTAAACTGATTTTAAAAGTTATTTTACGCTAAAAGCTAGTTAATTATAAATGGCTGCACAAGTTGTAGCTTTAACACAATTCATTTACTTTATATCTTTATTGACTGTTTTGTTTAGTCAGATCGTTAATATTACAGCATTCTATTTTATTGTGTGTGTTTATCAGTTTCGCTAAAAGATGTCTCGATTGAATATAACATTTAATAGCGTGATTTGTAGGGGTTTGCCCGAAATGAACTTATTTAACATTTGTTTAATAATGGTTAGCTGTCTAAAATTTACATACATACTTTATTTCATTATTAAATATACCGTACGAAAATGCATGTGCAAGTTCTATATTGAAGAAATACTTAAGTGCAGTTTTCTTAGATTCTCTAAAGTGGCCTTAACCCTAAATCTTATAAATCTAAGCAAAGGTCAATAAAATAGAAACCCGTTAGTTTGGGGACGGTAGATCTAATGGTAGGAAAACTGAAGTTTTGTAAGTCGAAAATCTGTGTGGTGTATTCCCAATCCTTTATATTTATTGAATTTAACGGCTGGACGTTGCTCTCCTCACAATGGAATTCTGAAAATAATTTGGAATTATCAATAAATATTTACAACAATAATTATTTATAACAGAAAATGTGATGCTGTATGCGTTTTTTTTTCTAATGCAAACAGGACTACCTTGTAAGAGGTTTTCAAATGTTTTTTCTTACTCATAACTTGTCAAATTTACTAATATTTAAAGTAAAATGTAAAACAATAAAGCGTAGAAATATTATACAAATTAATAAATAAGTAAATAAATAAAGGTCGAGAATATAGCATTGTAATAATATAAGTCGGCAGTTTATTGTACAATATATACACTTTTATTTAAAAGTGTTGTTTTACATGTTTGTACATATTTTATTTTTTTTTTTTTACATATTTGTACCTGAATTTTGTGACTGGGTATATTGCTGCGAAGCGGTTTATATAAATTCAAATTACTTTTTACAAAGACAATACCTTCGAAATATAAAAACATGATAATTTTAATAATTCAAATGACTGAAAATAAGGCTTGCAACTATTATACTTTTTATATTAATATAATATAATATATGAATATATTTCTTTAGGGATACAAAAGCAGTTTGCCTGTCGGTAGAGTTTCCCCAAAAAATTAACTTGTACCTTAATGTTAAAACTATGTAAGCGTGGTATGCTATAAGCACTGTAGAATAGTTGATAGTTTTGGTTAACATGTGTATTGCATACGATAATGTATTCAATTTAGAACATTCATTCTCAACATGAGTCTTCCAATTAAGATTGTACTCCATATTAATACCTAAAAACTTTGCAACCTTGACTTTATTAGCTTTCTGTCCACAATAATTTACATTTCCTTCAGGTTTGGAAGAATCATTAGTATTACGTAAAAACATTACACTAGTTTTATTTAAGTTGATGACAAGATTATTGTCATTTAACCAAAAATTTCTTGATATTTCAATTCTCTGTACCTTTCCAGTGTTCATATTACACTTTTTATTATATTATAGCAAAGGTAAAGATCTAATGTAACAGCATGAAGTTGCCGTGTAAGTGAAACAGTTATTTCAAATACAGCGGTGGTTACTGTTAAAGGTAAGGCAAAGTCGAATCGATAAATAGAAGCCAGAAGTGTTGCACTTTTCAATCACGGCGAAGTTCTGTCCATATCTTCAAGGAACTCTACGATAGAGTCAAAAAGCCCTTTAAATTGAAGGAGTACATCATGCCTTTGAAGCGTGTTGTATATCGTATCAAAATTTGAACTAAATCGGTGTTGGAGTTTTTGAAGTGTACTTTTAGTATCTCAACATGTTTATATATATATAGATAATTGATGAAAATTGTACTTAAGGTAGTGTAAAGTGTAAATTTAATTTAAGATTTGTTATGGGAGGAATTCACTATTTGGGGGAGCTTGTGCCCTTGGAACCTCCCTCTGAATCCGCTACTGGCCAGGGCTTTAGATGCTACGTGAGAACCACTCAGTATCTACTCCTCCAAAAAGGTTATTTTAATTGCGCCTTTCGCATAGTCCTACATTTGTTCCTTCATCACCATCATCATTATAAAAAATAACAACCTTTAATAGTCCACTGCTGGACCTAGCCTGTCATTAGAAAGGAGGTTTTGGTCTACTATACCACACTGGCCAGACGGGTTGGTATAGGGTTTGTTTCAAGTTTTGCTTCTCTTTGCTCTTACGACACCCACGGGATGAACATTTGTTATTTAACAAACAATAATTATTGAAAAGATTTACCATTCATGGAATCCTGTTTAATGATGGTAAACAGTTTGTTGGTGTAACAGAGGGCGAACTGGATACCCATCAAAGAGAAAATTAAATTTCTAACTAACATTTTCGCTTGAGATACTACAAAATAATAGCAGATAATATATTAAAATAATCAGTGAGGCTATGGTAATCAATATTTTTGTTTTATTTTTGTTTTATCTACATATTTGAGGGACACATTATTAAGAATTGGTAACTCATGTCCAATTTTTTAAATCGAATTTTAATGTAAGATAGAGAATACTCATATTTAATAAATCTAATCTACCATCGAACACCACACACTCCTCCTTTTTTTAAAACGGTTAAAAAGACAATACTCGTTTCTTAAATACAATACCACTCTCAAAACAACCCTAATACTAAAGAGGAAAAATTAAATGACAGCAACACTGTCACGGACCAAATTAGTAATAAGACAGAACAAAACATTCACAGTAAATTCAAAACATTAAGTATATAAAGAACAAATTCGTGAAATCTTTAAATTTTCCCTAGTCCGAAATAATATCATTGTTTACGATGTCTTCAACATCTTTGAGCAGTTGCGATAGTTGCGAATGTTGCCAATGCGTGTTTCAGGACAGCTACGGCAGAATTTATCGCCCCGGCCCGCCAACACCCTTTTTTAATACAATGGGACACCCCCTTGTTTACTACGCGCAACTGGTAAGAAGTCTAGTAATATAATGTAAGAATGTGTAATGGATGGCGCCTCCTACTACGCTGAGTATTGTGAAGTCGATCCCTACATGGGATGACACTGTGTGATCCATAAATTGTCGTTCTGAGTATGGCTGTTCTTTGTGTTCGTTTTATATATGTTTGTTAAGTCCCTAGTGCGGTGCGGATACATTCCTAGTGCCGGAGTTGTCTTTAAAAAAGAAAGAGAAAAAAAAACTGAATTTTTACAACTCACCAGTGTGTGAATTTGCAGATTTTATAACAGCGTTGACAAGTTTTAGAAAACGATAAAGGAAAATAGTGTTAATTTGTAAAGACTAGTTTTATTTGCGGCCAGAGAAACATCAAAATTAACACACAGACTTGTCTTGATAACGTAATTTGAGACGCAGGGGCAGAACTGACACAAATGATCATCGTTACCTATAATAGTTTACGTCCCACGAGATTGGGGGAAACTTGTTTCTCCCTCACTGCTATTAAATTAGCTGGCTTTTATCATAATTAATGAATCGAAAGCTTACTAATAAATGGCAGTAACATCATTTACTAATACTCATTAAAATCAATGTTAAACAATATTTTGAAAACTTAAGTTACTGATTGTAGTTTTTTTGCAGAGATAGACTTTAAAAAGTAAATAATTTTACAAACAATGTCGTTACATTACGTTACAAAATTGGTCACAAAAAACTGGGTTAATTACTTTTTCGGAAACGATTTCACTATCTGCAGTAGCCTTGCCGTTTAAATTCAGTCAGAGAACACTTTTTGTACCTCATTTCAGATGTCCTTTTATTCGTATTGTACCCCTTTAGAATTTAAAAGTTCTTAAGACAGCAGCATTGGTTTTTTGTCAACGACTGACTGACAAAGATAATTTCTAATTTTTTAGTATTGTATACACAAAAAAATACAAAATATACTTATGCATACTTACTGCTTGTATAGTTATTTTAAAGATTCATGTAAAAATTAAGTTTTCAAATTTCTATAGAAAAGGACGTATTTTCAAAATCTACTATCACGGCAACTAAGTAACATCAATAACACCATGAATAAGAATTTAAGATTAAGACCCACTGATCTATTTAATCTTCCAAACCAAGTTTATAATGCCCAATTCTTTTTTATTATTAATTAGCTGTAGCTCACCACGTTTGGCTGTGGCATATTGTGGTGGTATTGATGCGAAATGAGCATCAAAATTGTCACATAAAAGAAAAAAACAACCTTTAAAGCGGTTTGTAGCTGGTGTCAAATTTGGAGCTCAATCGGTGCAGAGCTTTGGGATGTTGTATATGCGGAGGGACTGGAACTGGAGCCAAAGCATGGTGCAAGTCGTAATTAAAAACGTGTATGAGGACCTCTTCCGTAGTATAGTACTATTATATTAAAATATTTATAATCCGTTCCGAGCTATGGCACAGAAACCATCATAGAGATGAACAAATATACTTTCGGTTTGACAATATTAGCTGATGATTATTTATGGAAGAGAAAGCTGTGTCTGGCGATGTGTGTGCAAATATGTGTGACCTTTGTCCTATAGCTTGAGTAACAAGATAAGGTTTTTGAACTTAGTTGTAACAAAATTTATTATTATCTAAGTCCATCAGACCTGACCGAGTCCAATAAAAAGGTTACGTCAGATCTGTTTTGAAATTCCCTAATCAAGTTTAATTCAAAACTACAACATTTTTACCCTTTTGATAAGTAAAATGACAAGTACATAGTTATATTGAATAGTTACATAGTTCTTCAACTTATTTGGGGACTTAAAGTACAAATCTTTACACAAATAAACAAGCACAAATAAAGGAATAATTCAAAAAAATTAAGAAAAAGTTGGAAATTAAGATAAATTTTGGTACTTACAAATTTTCGCGAAAATCTATGTAAAATCTGGGTAGGTACGGAACCCTCAGCGCACGAGTTCGACTCGTACCTGACCGGTTTTTTTTTGTTTACAGCAACCGCACGACGGTAGTCTAAAACGGGAAGGGAATAAAAACTGTTTTGCCAGAGCATTTAAATGGTACACCCAGGTATAGTGAATGTTATTTATCGTATACATTGCTAAGATTTTTTAAAATTAAAAGTTTAACAATTTCATATTACCATCCGATATTCTATTTTCTTAATTGTATTTTAAAGCACAGGCAAAATGGAAAACTTTCTTGATTTTAAAGATAATCGTAATTGTAAATCCGCCAAAGGAATATTCGTTTTGCGTTAAAAGTCTCTACAGATTGCATTTGTTAATTCGGTTGTATTTTTATAGTACCTAGAAGCAGTTAAAGATAAAACATGAACGTTATCGGTAACGTAAAGTAATCAATATGTGGGAGGAATGATTGATGTGTCCACTCACTGTCCTGTGACCCAACGGCTGATGTTAGGAAATTGTATAAATACCAATCGGTATGACAACTTACATTGCGCGATACAGGATCGGTTGATGTTATGTAGTTCAGCTTGTTTTTACAATATGGCGTTGAAATTTGTTATATTTAACAATTGCATGTTGCATTTGATTCACTATTTATTTCAATATTATATAACGGAAAACATTTTTTAATGCATGTAGGATTTAAATGAGGTGCGCGAGCAGGGTAATAGAGCAACTCCAGATCTAACCGATTTTGCGAGCTGGCTAGACACGAAATACTGCGAATACCTGTCAGAAAGTGAGGCACAGCAAATTGGACAGGAGCCGCTTCGGGGCACTTCCTGCTCACCCTGGTATCTATTGATTTGACTATACCTAATGATGTATGATGTCAAAAGCTGTTATTACGAGTAGATACCTATTTTGACACAGAATTTAACATTTCGACTTTGAAAACATAAACTAATACCTACTGTATTCGAAACTATTAATCACTTTAGATTTGATACCTTTGTTATTTTGTTATATGACCATGTGCTAGCTAGTCCTTTTGAAGGTACCTAGTTGCTAAACTCACTTGTTTTTTGTACTATCATAAAGATAGTAGAGTGGTTTAATATTTAAAATATTTTGAATTTCCAGCCCACCAGATACAACTAGAAGATTTCCAAGAATGAGAAGGTAAAAACTAAAATTTCGTGTACGCCATCAAGAGTCAAACTCTTAATTAAATTTAGTTTCCAAACTAAATTTTCAAAACCTGCATTTAAAAATTTTTTAGCCTACAAAAGTATTTCAACATTATCGTTAAATAATAGAACAGTATAGAGAGAAAATCAGCTGGAATTGCTGTGAAGACCCATTTTATAAAATGCTGATGTGGCTTTTGATTATTTGTTTGTTTTCATTTATAAACTATTTCATTTGAATCATCATCTGTTTTTACATACGCATTATTTGGGCACAGAAAAAGAACAGATATTTTTTACTGACAAAGTCTATATTAACGGGAGTAAAGGGGAGGTCAAAAGCTGGTTCTTTGTTATAACATATATTAAGAAATAATCTCTTCACCATAAAAACGTATCCACGAGTAAAGAAGCTATCCAAAACATTCTTCAGGGCCTTGAAACAAGCCATTCAGTGGTTGAAAATTAAATAATATGGATCACCTCACTGGCCGTGCTCACGCATTCTCGCTAAACACTTGTAGGTATATTTATTATAAATTTTAAAGCGTGACTGTCTGTCATGTAAAGAAAAAGATAATTCGATCTGTCCTGTTCAGAAAATGTCTATGCTGCTTGTACTCTTTTTTCATTTTCAAAGTCACGTACCTACTTTACCCCTTAATAACTTGTAAAATTGTAACTTGTAAAATCTGCACCTACAGAATGCAAACCAAGTAGGCATACAGGCACGGACCTCAACTGTTGGGGCGTCAAGTCAATAGAAAATTGTTTATTTATAAATGACTGGCCCATATGTCTAGATGTTAGTGATCTTGGGCTAGAGGTCGTGGGTTCGATTCCCACCCAGGACAATTAAGTGCGTGATTGTTGTGTGGCTGGGTGTAATTAAGTGTTTATCAACAATTTAGTTATCATAGTACAGGCTCTGTCTAGATTGGAATCAGACAGCCGCGTATGAAGTGTGGCACATATTTCTTAACTTTAATTTTTTATATAGTAGTAATCGCATTTTATGTAAATAAATAATTTCACAGTCCATGGAGTAAACGCAAATCTGCAAATCAAAATGCGAGAGACAGTTCGTGTAAATCAAAATCGTAAGTGTTACATTTATTTTCGTATTAGGTTATTAAGTCATTAATTCTCAATGGCTCGCAGTCTAATTTTGAGTTACTTTATTTTACATTTAAAAAAATATGAGTAATTATTTCATCTTTCTTGTGTAATTGTCTTTAGGCCAACCGCAAGTTGTCAATTTATTTTGCATCCACAAGATCTGACTCGACCGGCTTCCGCTTGTTACCAGTAAGTACAGTAGTACTTACTGATACTTAATGATAAGAACATTATGACAATCATTTAAAAGAATTTTCATTAAATTTAAAAAATGACTCCAAAAAGGGTAAAACTATAAAAAATTGCATTAAATGTGCTTCAGACGCAGCGTAGGTACACGTATCTTGTATGAGGTATATCTACACATTGTCGCTTAAATATGTATACATCTTCTAAACAATTATGTAAGTACTAAATCATGTTGGTTTTTTATTGATTGTTGTCATTGTTGTTGTTGTTGTCGTCGATAAATCGTTTTTTTGTCAAACGTTAATACTTATTTTTAGAACTCCGCCAACTTGTCCTAATAGATCTAATGCCACGATGATATCAAATGAAGCTATAGACACAAAGAAAAGTGTGGTAAAATCTCGGAGTATGACAAGTATTTCTCATGAAAATATTACTCGAAACGTTATCGACGTGATAACTGTTCAAGAAGGTCCTACCAACGTACCCATAGGTGTCTGTGACAGAAAATGTACACTTGATAAAAAACCAGAATGTAAAACTGTCGAAGAGATTCTACAAAATACTGTAACCTCGCCTAAAGTACAGAAGCTACAGGTGCCTTGTACTGAACCTTGTCAACTAGTTCAGCAATGTTGTGATAAAAATTTTAGGCTCAAGCAAAACTTCCAAAATATGGAACGAGAACGAGTGCCTTCGATATCACAAAAAGTTGAAACTCGGGCTGACACCTGTATCTCCAAACAAGAATATAAAGCAGGTCAAGAAGTATCACATACAATTTGTGAGCAAAACCGCTTAAATAAAGAGATGGATTATGTGCAAGAAATAAAATCGCATGCGAGAGATTCACTTTGTGATCCAAATTGTACGCGCAAGGAAAAGTGTAACTTTCTTCGAGAGATGCATTTATTACCCTTAAAATCATGCGAAATGGCCACTTGTGAAAAAAAATCAAAAGAAATAAGCGATTTAATACGTAAAGCACGGGAAGATCAGGGTCTCTCTATGATTCAGAAAGGTCCCAACGAACAGGAACGCGCAATTCAATTAGAAACAGACCAAATTTGTTCAAAACGCCAATCGATAGACACTACTTGTGACCGAGGCTTTTTAACTATAGAAAAGTATGCAGGGCAAATGGAGTCTCCAAAATCCAATAAAGCAGAATTGCTTTGTGACGTTAACTGCCCGGCAAAGCCAAACATCTATGTTCATGAAAGATATCCTACACAAATACAGGATGCTATGTGCCCTGGTGAAAAAAACTGTATGACATATGACCATAGAAGGGCAAACATGCGAAAAATTAAGCCTCCCTCAAAAGCATTAAAGGGGGGAATTGAATGTCAATGTCCTAAAGAAACGCTTCTTGATAAAAAAATACATTCATGTGTAACACCTACCACCACTGACTCTACTGCTCCTACTTGCAACTGTATTGTACCTAAAACAATGAAGCCTGTTCATGTGCAGGTACATATTTTCTTAAATATAATTGTTTTTCTTGACTTTTTCATAATTCCATTTAATTCTTTTAACGTTACTGGTTTTGAGAGGTCAGTTGTCACAGCATTGCGATAAATAAATAGGTTGCTACATGCTGTTTTTTTATCTTTTCGATTTCAAACCGTAGATAGATACATAACGTTTTTCCCAAAATACTATTTAATATGAGTCTCAAAAATTAGTGACGATTTTTCACATTTCAGGAACAACAAAGCCAACGTACGATACAGCAATATACTCAAAGCAATACTAAACCTCTTTTATCATTCTTTTCCAAGAAAACGCAAAAGCCTAAGGTCGACGTATCATGTCAATGTTCCGAAGCAGATATCAAGCAGTATGACACACCTCACCAATTTTACAGAACTGCCCAAGCAACAACTAGGTCCTACGTTTCGTATTATTCAAAGAAAAATAGCAACACTACAGCAGATGCATCATGTCAGTGTTCTGAAAGTGATATAAACAAGAACTCATCGCCCCGAATATCTGACCAACGTCCTCAAGTAAAAGCTCAGTCTTTTATTTCGTACGCGCAGATTAAAAAGATAGGGAAAATGACTGAAGTATCATGTGAATGTTCTGCGGCCAGTGTTTTACAATGTGACACACCCTCTCAGTACCGGCGAAATGATTTCCAGTCTTCAGCTAATACCACATGTATTTGCCCAAATCCGGTAATTTGTTGAAGTTACTTGTTTTGTCTAAATTTACTTGTCTTTGTCTTTTTGGTATATTAGTACATACTATTTAAGGTACTTTTCAGGTACAGCTAATAACGCCAGTGTGTAATATTCAGAGAACAAACTCTAATACGATGAAAAATGTATGCCGATTAAGGCAAGTAACTCATTACCAAGCAGTATTTAGAAATGACGGTGTACAAACGTCTAGTCACTCCATCAACTTCGTAAGTTATTTATTAATTTTCTAACTATTGTTACTAACTAAATTGCCATATTTTTGATTGGAAATATTAAATTATAGGGTAAAAGCGACGTACAGGACTATGCACTATTTATGAAAATAGTTTGTGCCGATAAATTAAACGAAAACATTTAGTTGAACATGAAATTCGGAGACAGTAATATAATAAAGGAGTTTTCTAAATAAAACAACTATAATGTAACTATTTTTTTATTATTTACACTGTAAAATAAAAGAACTACCTAGTTAAAAAGTTACTTACATTAACTTTGGTATCCTTTGGTTACTACTTAGACGAGTCTAAATCCTAGAAAGATAACTATATTCTGACGTACATAAAAGACAGGTAATCATGTGTAAAATTGGCGCATGCAATAATCAGCGATATTGCTATGCTTTGATATATTTATTTATTTGAAAGAAAGCAATAGGAATTATACGAGTATTATTACATACATATGAAATAAAAAATACTGGAATTTAAAATAAGTTTAATTATTTTATGAACATTTTAAACTATTCATTGTTTATTTCTCTAATTCCTGTATACCTATCACCAGTACAAAATGAATTCAGTCCATCCAAAGGCTGCCTGGAAGAAATTGCTCTAAGCGATAATAAGCCCTTTGAACATTACATCTGCTGTTGTTAATTTGTTTGCTTGTTAATTTGTTATTACTCTATAATGTCTGTAAAACCCTGGTGTACAAATAAATTATTATCTATCTATCTATCAGTAATCAACAAAACTTAGGAATTGTATGTCTGTGAGTGTTTGTTCTGTTGTACTTTTTACTAATAACTAGTAATTTTGACCTTTATTCTGTATGAAGAAAAAAAAACCTTTGAAGTCTATCCTCTAAGAATTTTAACTATATGAAAAACAATTAGATACAGTCTTGACACATGTCAATATTATGCTAACGACGAATGCCTTTTTTGCATTAAATTGCACGATGCGTTTGCTTTTCGTCTTATTTTATGTATGTACAATATTCTTTTGTGCCATCATCTAATGAATATGCAGTGTCATTTGGTAACAAATGAGGGTACTGAAAGGGAAAAGGATACACAGGTGTGTGTGTGTGTCTTGTGTACACACACTCACACTCAGACACACACACACACACACACACCTAGTGACCTAGTCACAAATATCCTATTATTATCATCCTCTTTTATAAGTTATTTTTTGGCTTAGAAGTTTTGCTGCTGTTTACAGTCTATTCACTTTTTTAAGTTGTTCTAATATTCAATATGACGTTTTTTTTTTTATTTTTCCTTTGAAAAGTTTTGTAACAAACGAATATGTAATGTTTACACATATTCGGAAGCGGACGTTAATAGTTGCGACACAGTTTCTACTACTGCAACTACTAACTAGAGCTTACTATTGTATTTTTGACGTTTAAATATATTACGACGATTAAATAATAATAAATAAAGCAGTGTCAATAGACTGTCGATGTAGCGACAATGGCTCATTAATGGCGATATTAGTACATTGCCATATCTGGAAAAATTAAATATATCATTTCCTTACAAATTTATATTGTACCGCTTACCAAACTGTTACAAAGACATTTGTATGACGCAAATTTATTTATAATATAAAAGACCATTGGTCTGATATATTTAGTAGAATACGAAAAGTGCTAAACTATTCTGACGACAGTCCATCGACAGTCTATTGATACAATATTAAAATAGAAGAATTGAGGCCCTGGTAGATTCATTGATATTAGCATAACAAGATCATGATAATAAATAAACCATTTTAGTTGGCTACGGCTTATAAGAAACTCTGGCCTCTCGGCACGGAGGGGGTCTCAATGTGTTAAGAATGGTCACTTATCCATAGATTGAACAGACTATGATTGCTTAACTTTGATATGTGTTCACCCACTCGGTTACCACAGAGCCACGAGTTAGAATATCTACAAATGAAAAACAGTAATATTTAAACCAAATAAAATATCAGATCAGGTAGTTATCAATTAAAAACTACACTAATATTAATTTACGTAAAGTCTATAAAGTCACTTAAAAGATAATCATGCGTCATTTTGACTCACGGAGTCCAAATTTTTCAAAATTCTTTATAAGTACTTACCACAGCGACACGTTTTGCCTTGCGACAGGTCTGTTCACTGGGTGAAACTTACTTATAAAGAGCAATTTTTGGAAACCGCAATCTTTAATTTTACGCACATCTTTTCTAAGGTTAATAGGATTTCGATGGCAGGTTTGTTGTGGTTAAAACTCGCTGAAGCAGCATCGTTGCGACCTTGGCCAAAGTTATCTCAAAGTTTGGATAGAGCCCATACGCTGTAAGAGGGTAAGTCTTTGCTGGGTATTGAATTCTCCAGACAGACGCTTGACACTGACGTTGGATAATGTCATTGACGCTATCTATCTAATCTTATTGTCTTCGATGGCTGGAGGTTCTGCATGTAAGTACTATCTAGGTAAGCAGGGTTGACTTGTTTTTAAGAAAGCATCAGCAATAATTCTATCGGTGACTCATGGCCCTATTGCGTCTTGATGGAAAACCGGCATGCCTAACGGTAAACCTTGCATTTCATAATTTGCAAAAAAACCTGTGGCAGATTCTAATAAAAATGTAACTTTGCAAGATCTAATTGTAACTTAATTTGTTAACAACAATGTTAGTTACCGTGTCAAGATTTGTTATTTTTATTTCTAACGTAAATAAAAGAACGTGTCTATCACATGATAAACTAACTAATCACATAAGAATGATCTAAAATACTATTTTCTCTGGTCTTAATGGAATATATCGCTAGCGAGCATTTCTATTGTTTCATGCAGGGTCAACAGGTCCAGTGTTTATTGATTCGAAAAAGGTAACGACGACCCGATGTATCCATTATAAAACATATCTTGTATTGTTTTGATAAATAAAAATGCATCGCCGAAATCTATAACTCCCGAACGACTGCACTAAAATGGATGGAGGTCAGGACAAGGTTTGTATGAAAGAAAATTTAAAAAAATTGAACAGTATTTTTTAAAATCTTGTAATATGAAAATGCAAATAACTTTTGTGAGAAACATACAAAGTCAGAAAATTGAATTGTCTGTAATGTCAAAATAATAGTTTTTTTTTTCATGCTCACACGGTTATTCGAACGATACCTATGCCTAAAACCAGCTTATTTTTTTTTGTCTGTCTGTCTGTTTGTTCCGGGTAATCTTGAAAACGGCGGGGCCAATTTTGATAATATTTTACTATCAGGTAGCTGTTTATATAAGGAGTAACTTAGGTTATTTTTTCTTCAACTAAGGCAGCGCTTTTCAAATTTCACGCAAACAAAGTCTCTGGTACCAGCTAGTTTATAATATAAGCATATAATGTAGGATTACCTTATATTGGAAAAAAGTTGTGACCACATTTGTACGTCTTGAACACGCCATAAAATATTGCCAATGAAACCTGGTCGAAATGTCAACGTCAAGTTACGTTAGGTCCAGTTTCGTTACGTAAATACAATATACCTATATTATCACGCAATTTTCGTGAAATATCAATATTGCATTAGGCCGAATAGAAAAGTGTTGCAATAGTTATCACACGCATCATAATTCCGTTTGCGTAGCACTCCTGGCTCCCTGTGTATCATGGCTTGCTGAGTAGCCTTGTCAATGAAATTTCAGTCTCAATCTAAATTTTATTTCACTTGTTGCACGTTATTGAATTATGTTTTATATCACTCACCGCTTTACTGTTTATTTTTCATCTTAATCTCAATATATTGTTACTTTTGGGGAAGCCTACCAGCTTCCCTAAAGATGGCCACAGATTACCTCCTAAGGGGGGTTACCTCTATGAAGATGGCATAGCCATAACTTTGAGCAACTACGAACTAAAACAGGTGTTCTTAAGGGCTGCGAATTTAAAGTTAAAGTAAACATTTCTATGAAAAAACAAATCTAAAAATTATAAACAATAAAACTCTCGCATGACCATCGTGGGTGTGTGTGATATAGAGTGGATAGAGCACCAGAATATGCACAGGAAACCTGTTTTTGCTGGTGTAAGACAAGAGATTTAGACCACATAATTATAAAATTCAACATTTGTTTTATAACACTTAGTAACCTATTATACATAATTATGTAAACGATAAACTATTCGAAACCTACCTTGCGTTCTTAAACGCGTTAGTGTTGGATGGTTTATAAGTTATAACTCATTTAAGTCTTTTTAAAAGTCTAAGTTTCTACACTAATAGGACACAAAATACAATAAGTTACAAAACATGAATAAAAGCATTATACTATAGTTGCAAATGAACAATAGAAACTTCAATTAGGATGGACGTTTCGGAATATTAGATTTACCTAACTGATACTTCTTCACTCCATTCCTTGAATTATTCTGCTCAATTGAAAGATAAAGCGCGCTTGATATAACGCTGTATGGTTTTCTATATTGAATGATTATTTAATTACATTGAGGTGTCTCATACAATCAAGGTTTAAAGGTTATAAAGGTCAAATGAAGAAAAAACCTTTGTCGATGGCAAAACTGGCAATTGCAGCAGGATCCCCTACGACTGCTGAAAATATTATATTTCTAGCGAGACGGATACGCCGCAAACAAGTCTCCACACCTCTTATACCTTCTTATACCTATTATATAATAACTTTAAAACAATTTTATGAGAACTAGTGTTTACATAGTTCTCACAAAATTGTATAGTATTTTTTTTAATGTTAAGTAATATTGTAAATCTAAATAAAATGCACTTGTAGGTATATAAGTAAAACAATACCTAATGCACTCGTTTACACCACAATACACAGAATAGTTAGTAATATATTATGTCAATATTCCGAAGAATATATTACACAATATAAACAATTTCGAGCTTTCTAATAATACCGCATGACATGTGTTAGCATAAACTCAAATATAATAAGTAAGATGCTAAAATGTTTTACCCGGAAATTTACAGTTGCGTTTTAGTTAGTGTCTGTATTTTAGGATGACACCAGAACTACGTTTTGTTTTATTGTCCAATACTGCATTTAAATCCTCTACAATAGTATTTATATTTAATATTTAGGGAACAGACTTTTAGGTGTCTTTAGGTATTTTAGCGTGGAAACTTTAACATAAGCTCAAAAGCAGTGTAGTGCTAATTATTAAGAATTAGTGTACCGTATTAAAATAATTTGTGTTGAATTTCTGAAACTACATGGTATATTTTTTATATAGTTATACTTTTTACGAAATAAAACAAATATAACATGTTGTAATTTTATTCCTAATTTTACTTACAATATCAATGTTATATACAAGTGTTTTGTACAAATATAAAAAACTAAAATAATTTTGACTAATTTGGTTGGCCATACGATGTGGCTGGTTTATTCTGAGGTAAGAAATTAAAACTTGATGAGCCGCTTGACTCTGATTGTTCGGACAGTGTCGGTTGGCCATAGCTAACTGAAGGGCTGGACACTGACGGGGGACCCTCTGCTACGGATGAAGAGACTGATGCATTTGAACCAGAGCTGGATGTATGTGCGAAAGATAAAATTTCCACGCTCGGTCTAGCATTCTCGAGAGATACGCCCGAGACCAAGGACTGGTATCCGGCGTTACGCGCTACATCATGTTCGTCGTTCTTGATAATACTTTGAACACGATTCACTACTATAGGATCGAGAGCGTCCCTGTGAACTTGTTCGTTGGAACTATATTGGTTCGAATCTGCCTGGTAACTTGAGAATGCGTTTGATTGTTGAGGGCTATTTATCGGCTGAGCTTGAAAAGGCTGGATTGCTTGTATTGGTTGTTGATAGGAATATCCTGATTGCTGATATTGCTGTTGTTGGTATTGTTGGACAGGTTGCTGGTAAGGGATTGGAGCTGGTAGAACCGGTGCAACAGGTTGAGGTAATGGTTGAGGCCGTGGTGCTGGTTGAGGAGCGATGTATTGCGGTGCTGGTGCACTGCGAATGTCGATTTGAGGGGACCCGTAAGCTTGACTTGGTTGTGGGTAGACTACAGGTCCAGGGTGAGGTATGGGTTGTGGTTGAGGTACTGGCTGTGGTTGAGGTATTGGCGCCGGTAGGTGGTACTGTGGTGCGGGTGCTGGGACAGGATAGTATGGAGCTGGTGCTGGAGGTGCAGGTTGATAATGAATTGGCTGTGGTGCGGGGCGTGGCTGTATATAGTTTGGGTTTGGCGCCGGGTAGTTGTATCCAATGTTAGGTGAGGCAGGTTGTTGAGGTGGGTACTGCGGTGCTGGAGCAGGGCCCGTAATGAAAGGTGGCTGTTGAGGATAGATATGTTGTGACGGAGGTGGTGGTGGTGGGGCAGGCGCAACAGGGTAGTACAGTGCCGGAGTGTGCGGGCCCGGCCGAGGCAGGTGGTAAGGCGCCTCCCCGACTATTGCTCCAACCAATGATAGTAAAACCAACTGTAAAATAAATAGTAAATTTAGAACGGCAACGAAATGGAAATTTTTAAATCAAATATTCGTAGTTGGGTGCGCGTGTACACACAAGTTTCTCTTTGGTGTCAACTCACCGCGCGCCTCATGGTGTCGCGGATGTGTGCTTGTTTGTGGTGCTTCGTATGAGTCGTCTGAGACTTTATACTCCTACTACCACCTCTACGTGTCAAAAAATGGGGATCGTCTTTATCTAACACGTGGTAACGACGTCTATTGTGCGGTCGATGATGAAATTCTGACACATGTATTATCTAAGACATTTGTGTTGATTTTATGATACTTTATTTCGTTGCCTTTAAATTTTTGAGATTCTTAATATGATAACGAATTATATTTATTCTTGTAAAATATGTTGTTCCCTAAATTTCATTAATACGTTATTCATTTTTAGAATTAGATATTCAAATGAAGGGATACCCTATTATTGGTAGAATTGATTACTTTTAGAACGTACGTACTATTGATATTTATCCACAGCTACGCTCGTATTAATGCAACTTTTGGCATTAAACCTATCCCTTGTAACAGTATCTGTATTTTTTGGATAAAGGTACGCTATCCTCTTTTCTGTATCTCTGTCAACGTGTTTTGAGAAAGTCATGTACAAGTCAAAAAGCCAATTATGTGTTGTTGTTTATTACTGTTTTGAACTTAGCATAAGGACGAAAAATAAGGTTTTTGTATTACGGAATTTTACATGAGCGTGCGAGAGTAACAAAACTTCCATTATCGTGAGTGTACGTCGTGCATTATATTCTTTCTATCTGTAATTAAAACAAGAAGATGAACATGTCTTACGTATCATATATTTTGTCATAATATTACTCCTAATAGAGCAAGAGCCCGTGACTGCCAGACCTTCCTTTTATAATATAAGCTGAAAGTTTTTCTATGTATACCTTTAGTAAAGGTAAGAACGATCCCCACCCATTATACCTGGGTAGTGGTGGCTTTGGCAGGTAACAGGTAATAAAGGTGTATAAAATTCCATCTTAAATTTATTAATTTATAAAACTTATTTTTTATATATATCTGTTTGTAACAATATCACAACTTACGTCATTCATTACCAGACGCTTAATACGGTTCCAACCCTTCGCCAGACACCCCTAAACTATAATATTTTGTAATTTTACTTACGTTATTTTTTAAAAGCTGAATTTTATATATGTTTTTTGGGGAACTATAAAAAGATGTTTCTTTAGTAGCCAGACACATTCGAGGGTTCCATCATCCTGCCAGACGCATTGGAGTGCATAGAAAATGTGAGAGCGCGGTGCTTATGTACTAACTGGTGCGAGTGAGACAGGCCGTTCGGTTTATTGCGATCTTTTACTGCGCATCAGCTGTCGTTTACTCTGTATTATTCAGTGAACAGTTATATAGTCGTAGTAATAGTAAACATTGTAATATTAAACTGTGTTATTTGGTTGATAAATGTGATCCAGTTTTAATAAATAAATAAATTTTTTATCATGAGTGACGAAAACGTAGAAGAAGTTTGTTTTGTCTGTAAAAAAAAGTGGTGAAGATCTAGTAATATTTTCGGAAGAGACTTTTAAAAAATGTCAAACTATTTTAAAATTAAGAAAAATACATAACCTCAAGTATAAAAACATTATTTTACCTGGTGAATATATAGATAATCGTTATCACCGGTCATGTTATAAAGCATTTACAGGTCTCATGAAAAAATACTTCAGTAATGAACCTGTAAGTACTGAAAAAATAAAAAGAAAAAAACAAATAAGCAGTGTGCTAACCGGCAACTCATCTCCAACTTCATCATCAACACTCCAGTCGAGTTCAGTACCACTTGATTTGGAATCTCAAATAAAATCGCAAGAAATTTTACGTTCCCAATCAATCGGAGCACAACCTTCTACATCACAAGATGAATCTTATTTACAGCCTGTACCTACAGAATCTCCCACGACATCACAGGTAATTAAAATTTCTCCACCAAAAAGTCCACAATCTTCAACTCTTCAGGATCATTCTAATTCTTCTGAACCGGATGTTAGTGATAATAATATTTCAATTCAGGACATGATTATTTCGTCGGATAATATTGTTGGTAATAATGACAACGAGATCGTTCGTATTTTTTGTGATAGAAAAAAAAAAAAAATTCGATCTAGAATGCTTCCGCTTCATGCAGCTGATGTTGATAAATTTAAAACTAGCATCATTTCCAAGATTGAAGGTCATGAAGAGTATAACGATTTTTTAAATAAATTGAATAATTTTTCTGGCCTAAAATTTTTTTATCATACAGAATGCCGAGTTGGTTTCAATAATAAGTTATCTTCTTTAACAGCACAACCTGACAAAACGGAGTGGCATTACCAACGAAAGTATCACCAAATAGTTTTTGAGGAAATTAGAACAATTATTAACGAAGACGTGATTAAAAAAGGACGCTGCTTTTTATTGGTGTATTTACATGACCTGTATATTGATTTATTACAAAATCGTCTTAAAGAAAATTCTATGGATATGACTGGTATTTTTACAGCACACCATCTTGAAGAGAAAATTCTGAAGATATTTTCTAAGGACATAAAATTTTTTAACATTCGCAATAAGAAAATAATAGCTCCAAAATATCTACAAGCTATAGATGATTCTATTCTAGATAATTTACAAACAGAGAACATTTTACGAAAGTCTGCATTGATTTTAAGAAAATTAATACTCCAAATTGAAAAAAATAAAATACCAACAAAAAAAAAACATCAGAGCATTTAATATCAGGAGAAGTTTCGATACCTCAAGAATTATCAGACTTTTATTTTACCCTTCTTAGTGGATGTAACCGAAATCGAAAAAACAGCCCAAAATGTGCACGTCTTGTTCGTTCTTATTCTCAAGATCTTATTTACGGTGTTCATAATGGTCAAGTTAAGACGTCGAAACATATCATGTTAGGTATCACCCTCAAGAGTTTAACAAGCAGTAGAAAAATAATTGATATTATAAATAGATATGGACACTGCATTAGTTATCAAGGCGTAGAAGAGTTAGAAACTGAAAGCACATATACAACGATAGAAAAATCCAGCGTATGTCCCGAAAAAATAATAAAAAAGCCAAATCTTTGTACGGGTGTGGCATATGATAATTTTGATCGATTTGTCGAAACAACTAGTGGTAAAGATACTTTACACGACACAGTTGGAATTGTATATCAGAATATTGATCTAGATACAAATGAAGAACCTGTGATGTCCGAGGTACTGACTGAAAACACCGAGAATATTACGTCGAATATAAGCACAAAAACATTTGAAGAATGTGAGATGCCCGAAGTTCTGAGTGAAAGTACTGAAAATGTTTTGCTGCAGAAGAAAGAAGAAAAAAGACGAAGAAGAACAGTAGATACCGTAGGGTTTGATGAAGTTCCATACACTAAGAAGCCTAAAATGACGAGTGAATTGCAACAAGCGGTCAATGACGTTAACTATGTAGATACCCGAAAATACACTGACATTGATAAAATATGGATGGTTAGCCACGCGCTGGAGTTAACAGATGTACCCATGTGGGTTGGTTTTAATAGTCGGATTGATGATCATGACAGTCCACAACAACTTATATCATATTTGACTCCAATCAATGCATCGCCAACCAGTATATCGGTTGTATTGGAAACTATGAAACAAAGTCAACAAATTGCTGCAGAGGTAAACCAAAGTAACATACAAGTGACTTATGATCTTGCTATAGCAAAAGTTGCGTTACAAATTCAAGCAACGGAGAAGCCAAAATTTGATAATTTATTTATTCATTTGGGACCGTTTCACATAATGATGGCTTACTTCCAAGCTGTTGGTAAAATAATTAGTGATTGTGGATTAACAAATGTGATGGTTGAGAGTAGTATGCTCGCAAATGGTTCAGTTAATGGATTTTTAGATGGTAAACACTTTAATCGCTGCAAAAGATTGCATCCTTTAATGACATTAGGGCTTGAGATATTACATTTCCAATCATTTTTACAAAATAATAATATCACTTTAACTGATGATATAATAGATGAAATTAAAAGGCTTCAAAATTGTAAAATGTCTTTATTTGAAATTGAAAATGAAAATTTGCAAGATCTGATTAATAATTACGGGATTTACAAGCAACAAACCCTTCGTGGAGAGCATGGTGAAACATCACAATTTTATTTAATTTATACCAACCTCATCCATCACTATTTGGATTTATCTCGAAGTGTTCGTACTGGAGATTTTGAACTTTTTAAAACCGTGTTACCTAAAATTACAAATATTTTTTTTATATGTAATCAACAGAACTACTCTAGGTGGGCCGTTAAATACTATGATAATCTACTGAGAGTTGGCGAAACTCATCCCAATTTATATGAAGAGTTTCAAAAAGGTTGCTTTGGAATTAAAAGAACTACTAAGCCATTTTCAAGACAACCTATTGACCTTGTGTTAGAGCAAACGATAAATGCAGACGCTGCGAGAAAGCTTACAGGTATAATACATTTCACAAATTCGATTTCGGCAAGACAACGGTGGGCCCGAAGCCATGACGTGAGATCTACGATAATCAGTCAAGTTTATTTGGAATTAGGACTACAAAGTCATCAAGATGTTTCAGCAGATTTGGCTCTTCATAATATACGGAAAAACAACAATCAGCTGAAAAAATTTGTTGCTACTTTTGATCAATTCATTAATCCTTTCAGTGTAGATGTGCCTAAAGACCAATTAGTAAATATTTCATCAGGGAAGTCCGCATCACCGCCAGTAGAAGAATTTTTGTTAAATGTAGAAGGTAATGGAGAAATCCTTCGAAATGCATTTGTTTCTGAATGTCAATCTAATATACAACGATTTGAAAAAGCTATTAAAAAGACATCTATTAATAATTTCTCCAAAGATTGCGAAAAAAAGAAAAAAATTAATGTTGGTGGGAAAATTCAAGAAGTTAAAATTCAAAGAGATTTATTTGGACGTATGCTAGGAATTTCAATGGATTTCAAGATTGACATTTCGAAAATTTTATCGTACCCCATTACTTCAGTACCATTATCAATGTGCCATTTGGATGGAACCATTTGCAA